ATATGTATACATATATATATTTACATCTTTTGTATCTTAATTTTCCCTAGCATCATGTAGTAATTTTTCAGGGTTATTTGGCCAATGTGAAATTTAACGAGAGCTATATTTTTCAAAAATTGGCAAAAACTACCCAAGTAAATTAGCCTTAAACTTGTTTTTTTACATATTAATGAAACGAAAGAACAACGCGTCATATTTAAAAACTAGCGTATAAGCCCGTCTCCCGCCGGGCGAGTGAAAATTATAAGCTGGAAATATCTGTCGGTAACGGAAGTGAAAGAAAATTATCTGCAACGCAAGGGAAAGTAAAGAAAGTCAAGTTTCGAATGGCACGAAAAGTAAAAACAAATTAAATTAAAAAAATTCAATGTCTGATGGTAGTTATGTTGGGATGGTCGTAAAATGGTGGTTATTTTGGGTGGTTATCTTGACTATTTCGCTGCGATGTGGGAGGTTAATGTAGACTCATTGAGTACAATAGCACGTCGAAGTAAAATAAATAATATTCTGACTGTCTAGTGCCTTCGTCAGAATATTTCCCTGTTTTTCTTTATTCACGGTGTTTGTTAAATTAAATTGGAGGTACAATTGTATTAAGTAAAACCCCAAACCTCCGTCTTCAAACTATGAACCACGATGCGGTGTCGTTGTCAATTAATGTAACGGGACCTTACTCCCACTTTATCCAGTCGAGTGACATTTCGGTGTGCTCGCGACTCACTCCCACTCCACTCCTACTCCAATCCGCAGCGGAGTGACCACTTACTCCTAGGGTATAAGTCCGTCTCCTGTACGGGGGTAGTTTCTGTGATTTTCAATATAACTCTAAGGAGTGATTGCGCTAGGGCTGGGCTGGGCTGGGCTTGGGCACAGTACTACTCGCTACTTCACTCTAAGGAGTCATTAGGCTAGGGCTGGGCTTGGGCTGGGCTTGGGCACAGTACTACTCGCTACTTTACTCTAAGGAGTGATTGGGCTAGGGCTGGGCTTGGGCTGGGCTTGGGCACAGCACTACTCGCTACTTCACTCTAAGGAGTGATTGGGCTAGGGCTGGGCTTGGGCTGGGCTTGGGCACAGTACTACTCGCTACTTCACTCTAAGGAGTGATTGGGCTAGGGCTGGGCTTGGGCTGGGCTTGGGCACAGTACTACTCGCTACTTCACTCTAAGGACTGATTGGGCTAGGGCTGGGCTTGGGCTGGGCTTGGGCACAGTACTACTCGCTACTTCACTCTAAGGAGTGATTGGGCTAGGGCTGGGCTTGGGCTGGGCTTGGGCACAGCACTACTCGCTACTTCACTCTAAGGAGTGATTGGGCTAGGGCTGGGCTTGGGCTGGGCTTGGGCACAGTACTACTCGCTACTTCACTCTAAGGAGTGACTGGGCTAGGGCTGGGCTTGGGCTGGGCTTGGGCACAGCACTACTCGCTACTTCACTCTAAGGAGTGATTGGGCTAGGGCTGGGCTTGGGCTGGGCTTGGGCACAGTACTACTCGCTACTTCACTCTAAGGAGTGACTGGGCTGGGGCTGGGCTTGGGCTGGGCTTGGGCACAGCACTACTTGCTGCCCACTTATCTGACCTAAATAACCACCACCCCTCAGATAACCACCATCATTCAGATAACTACCACCCCAAGATAACCACCACCCCAAGATAACCACCCCCCCAGATAACCACCACACCCAGATAACCACCACACCCAGATAACCACCACCCCCAGATAACCACCACACCCAGATAACCACCACCCCCAGATAACCACCACACCCAGATAACCACCACCCCAAGATAACCACTACCCCAAGATAACTATCACCCCAAGATAACCACCACCCCGAGATAACCACCACCCCAAGATAACCACCACCCCAAGATGACCACCACCCCGAGATAACCACCACCCAAGATGACCACCATCCCAAGATGACCACCATCCCAAGATGACCACCATCCCTAGATAACCACCCACTCCAAGTAACCACCAGCCCAAGGTAACCACCACCCCAAGATAACCACCAGCCCAAGATAACCACCACCCCAAGATAACCACCATCCCTAGATAACCACCCACTCCAAGTAACCAGCAGCCCAAGGTAACCACCACCCCAAGATAACCACCAGCCCAAGGTAACCACCACCCCAAGATAACCACTTCCCCTAGATAACCGTCTGACATTTAGTTTTTTGAATTTAATTTATTTTGAATTCTCGCGCCATTCGAAACTTAACTTTCTCCACTTTCACTTCCGTCACGGAAAATCACTTTCACTTCCGTTGCCAACAGACATTTACAGCTTATAATATAGATGAGAAGTTCTGCCATGAAGCAGGAGCAGCGACACGGTAGAATTAAAACAAAAGTTCTCTATCACCAGAGGGGTTCCCTTGTCCACAAAATTTTGGCCGAATTGCACCTTTGTTGGTTGGCAAGCTATCAATTCCCTTCTAAAACCGGATCGAAACGGAAAAGTCTCCAGCCCTCGGGTCATATTTTTCAAAACCATGGACGAATTGGTATACACTCCAGCAGCCAAGGTATTTATGACCAAATTCACGACCGTCGCATCCGTTAAAATGAGTGGAAATAAGAGAAAGTTGGGCAACTGGATACTCGAGTATAATCGGATGCACACGAATAGTGAGAAAACTTGGATCTGTGGGATGAGGCCGAGCACTGCGGGGACCACTTGACCCTTCATGGCGGAATTTTGCACCTTATCCAACAACTGGATGCAGCGGTAGGTGCGAAAAACTTGTCCCACCAGAATGTCCTTGTTCTCATCATTGTTATCTCCGGTCCCCAAGTCCTTGATTAATCTAATAAGTCACAGAACCATTAAAATAATCCAAATCCTTCAATTGTATTTTGCAGATTCCAGGTGGGTTTGCATAAAGGTATTTTGCATAAGGGTAAAATTGTATAATCTTTCTTGACTAAACACCTTTTGACATGAAGGAATTTTTTTACACCCTTGGATATCTTATGATTTCACACTGTTAGAAATCTGGTAACAGTCAAGCAGTTTCTGATTTCTTGGTATTAAGTTTGCTACCATATGGTGAAAAAATTATCTTAGACAGTAAAAACTAAGATTATGCAAAGTATGCGGAATCTTTGTCTTGTATAATTTAAAATTAGACAAATTCCCTTTGTGCAATATTGAGTTTATGCAAAATAAACTGCGGCAACGCAGGGTACACAAGTAGCGCAATAATGCTGATAATGCGATACAAAATATAGATCGCAGAATCTGAATTATTTCAAAATAATTAAATAATTAAAACTTCTTCATTTATATGTAGCCACTCTTAAAAATTATGCATCTTACATGTTTTACTGTTTTATCAATCTTAATTAATCAATCTTAATTAATTAATTAATCAATCTTACTGTTTTACTTGTCCAACATGTTAGATTCATTTTTTATGAAAATCTCATTTTGCCCCAACCACAACCACTGGCACTCGGAACAACTCGGAGACAACTCGGAGACACTTAATTTAACTCTATTTCGTCCATAGATTCAATTTTTCTAAAAATCTCATTTTCCCCCAACCACACCAATTGGCGCCCGGGGGTGCGCCACAACTCGGGAACACTTAATTCAAATCTACTTCATCCATACATTCAATTTTTCTAAAAATCTCATTTTGCTCCAACCACACCCCCTGGGTGCCAGGGGGTGTGGTACAACTTGGGAACACTTAATTTAACTGCCCTTCATCCATAGATTCAATTTTAGTAAAAATCTCATTTTGCCCCAACCACACCCACTGGCGCCCGGGGGTGTGGTCCGGCTGCCCCCAAAAGCTTAGGGGATCCTCCCCCTAGGGTCATACGTATGATGGCGAAAACCGATTTCGATTATCTCGATCCGTTCTCCTCAGGGTTTGGAAAACCCCGGGGTTTTTGTAGAAAAACCCAACCCCTGGGGTTTTTCCGGGGTTTTTGTGGGTTTTTGAGGGTTTTTGTAGATTTTGGGGCAGGTTGAACCAGAATTCCTAAAATTATATATTAGAGATAAACTAATTTTATATACAATTTTAACATGCAATTTTAACCGTTATCATTGATTTGGACTGTTACATCGAAAATTTATGTTTGACATGTAAATCTGGATATATGCAATGATATTTGGAAATTCAAGTCGCAAATGAAGATTCTCAAAATTTCAAGATGAAGTAGAAAAGTTAATTAGCATTGATCTACGTTGTAGTTTAAGGGATTTTGTTTCAATCTACCTCAAAATCCTACAAAAACCCCGGAAAAACCCACAAAAACCCACAAAAGCCCGCAAAACCTCATTAAGCATTAGGGTTTTTCCGGAGATTTGATACCCCAAAAACCCACAAAAACCCCAAAAACCCCAACCCACAAAAACCCGGGGTAGCGAACCCTGGTTCTCCTGTTATCGTGTTGAAGGACGGACGGACAGACTAACTAAGGAGTCATCCTAAGTCATCGCATAAAGTAGATTGCGCTACTTAATAAATTACGCAAATCAACCGGAGACCTTTTAAACTAACCTTTCCACATATTTGAGGTAATCCAACATACAAACGATTGCCACGAAGAAGGTGTAAAACATGAAAAACGTTCCGTCATACGCGATGTGCAACCATATCCAATATTCCACCGCGAACATTCCCATCCTTATATACGAACAGGGCGGTGTCCACACATTTTTTTCACAATATGGCGACATTGACCCGAAAAACGGGACGGCGCATGGGCTGTGAAGTTGCATTACGATAACCATGAGTGGAATCACGACCGACGTGATTGCCAAGAGTTTCAGGAAAAGAGCGAGTATCTTGTCATCCATGGATGGGGTGGGGAGTGGGCCTTAAAATTAGATAAAATTAATTCATACATCGTGGCCAAGAATTATCTGACCAGGCGAGGTATGGTCTCAAACATTTGTTAATTTCACAAGAAACACATTTTATTAACAAAAACTCTTATAGTATGTTCTAAACTAATGTCTTGTGGGTCCTCCAGTCGATTTTGCATGTTATGAAATTTTTCCTCAAATTTTCTGACAGATTTTCCAAAACAGTTTTGGGAATTTTTTTTCAAACGTTTTATAAACGTGAGGTCTTGGAAGCAGTATCGCATGGAACTTTTTCGTAGACCGGCTTAAATTTAAGCTAGGACCACAAATTTTTAATTGGGGTCATGTCCGGGGTGTTTCCGAGGGGCACTCCCTATGCCAAGATGGTAAACGACTGACACTCGAAAAATCAAATATTAGTGTTTGAAGGGTGGGATGATACTCCATCCGGTCAATATGGAATTTCTTTCGAATTTGGAAAAAGTTGCTTAGTCTCCATAGTATTGAAGTACAAGGGCAAGATATGGCCACGGTGAAACCGTACGTCTAAATTTTGCCAACCAAAAGTGACGACCAGGTCTGTCACGCCTCGAAACCAGAGCTAAATACAAACCATTAATGGTAGCCACTTTTTTCTAATCTTCGTCTCGGGGACCCCGTTTGTATACACAGTTTGGTACCTCATGTAGTGAGGATTCACCACAGGATTACCATATATTTTGGGCATGCGCGTACACAAAATTCCTGGGCCCTTTATACCAGCAGCCGAATTGCGGTTTTCGTCTAGAAACTCGCCAAAATCAACTCGACCTTGAATATTGTTGACCGAAAAAGAGTTTGTTTTGGAGTTCTGGAAGAGATGTGACCCCAGTCACTGGTTTTTGCTTGATTCTGGAGAAAGGAACGATAGATTTTCTAATGAAATTGTCAAAATCGATATTTAAGATTTAGGACCGGTTCACAATTTATTGTCGAACTACCAGATTTTCGTTGGACTATTGTAAAAATCGCATTCTCAGGTCTGACCGAGGATGTGGTGTGTCGTCTGAGATGATTAGCCTGGCTGATTGACTTCCGGTTCCTTCAGAACGTGGCGTGGCTTCAGAAGGTGTACGATTTTATCATTTTTCTTTACATCATGGCCTTCGCTGCTTTCAGGTAGGTGTCACTTTTCTCATAAATGAGAGCAGCTACCGTGCAGTTGAGCACATTCAAGGTTGCCGAATTGACTGATAGAATCCTTAGAACACCCAGTTGCGTTCCAGGCAACCTGTCTTAAAAAAATTCTCTGCCCCATAAATCAGTCGTATTAGAATGCATATTTAATAGGATTCATAAAAAATGGTAAATTTTACTGCAACTCATATTTTAATTTATACAGGAACTTCATACAGGAACATATAAAATTTATATCCTGTTCTAATTCTATGTACCCTCTGTATAGATACTCGTCACACATTAAAGTAGGACCATCGCCAAATGTTCACTAATATTTGACATTAAACCATAAATTTACAAGGATTTCCTCAATTTCTGAAACACCATTTGCCCCGCACTGAACATCCCCTCATCCACTGACGCTGCGGCGAAAAAAATCTCATAAATTTGAAACACACGCTCATCATACTTATCCGAAATCGTGTCCCAATTTCGCCTCAAGAGGTGCAACGCTTCCCTAAAAAAAATCGCCATATCTCTGCTCATATCCAGATACTCTTCTAAACCAAAATACTTCTCAGAAATTTCAAAAATCTGTGCCAAACTGTACATGTAGTGGCCTGGAAAGACGAATTTTTGCAAAAAATTTAAATTATGTGCGGAATCTTTTCTCACAGAAAAATCTTGCAGTACCAAAATTCCCTCGGGTTTTAATAAATTGAACAACTTTTTGTAAAATGCTTCCAAATTGTGAGATCCGATATGGAACAATATTTCAATCCCCACAATTCTATCGAATGTTTCTTCTTTTTCGCAAATTTCACGCCAATCAATCTCTCTAATTTCCACGGGCAATTCGCGACAAACGTTTCCCGCGTAGGCCGCCATTGATGAAGAATTCGTTATCCCGACTACTTCGATGTCAAAGTTTTTAGCGAGATGGCGACTCAATCCGCCAAATCCGCAACCTAAATCCAGCACGCGTATGCCCGCCTTGATTTGCAGCTTTTCCGCTGTTAGTTCCATTTTATGGCGTTGTGAATCCTCCATTTTGCTCGCGCCACGGCCGTAATAAGACACCGAAAAGAGGAGGGATGAATCGAGGAAGGTTTTGAAAAAATCGGGCCTTAAAAATATTAAATTAATTTCAAAAATCACATTTTTGAATTTCCCGCTGATCAGGGTGAGGAATACTCCGGGGTTTTGCTATTGAAAAGCTCTACCCAGGGGTTTTAGCTGGGATTTGCGGGGAGGGGTTGCGGGAAGGGGTCGGGATTTTTGGGGGTAAACCGAGCCAGTGGCTCATGTATTAAGTTGTGAAAAAAATCTGCTTTTTCATAGAGATGAGTCGTGTCGAGGTTTTTTGAAACACGCACGACACGAACACGAAGCTCATGTCACGTTTTGCACGAACACGAACACGGTCATTTAAAAAAATTCACGAACGACACGAAACACGACTTTGTCTGCTATAAAAATGCCCAACACTCACGGAAAATTTTTTAAAACGAAAAAACACGCACGACACGCACGATGCGAAAACACGCACGATGCGCACGACCAAAAAATTTCGGTTTATTTTGCATTTGAGCACTATCGTGTCGGGTATAACAATAGAATTGTTTGACACTATCATGAATAATTGTCATTTAACCGACATTTTCAATTTTCAGAGTGTAAAAATGCATTGTACGAAGAATTTAGCAACCCTAGCACTAGTAACCAATGTCCCGTTTCACAGCGTGCGTGTAGTGTTAAAAGTACCAACAAGCACGACACGAGGATACTATTGGTTTTGCACGCACGCACGCACGAAGTGTTTGAGTGAGGGTTACACGCACGGCACGACACGATGCACGATCGTGTCGTGCGTGTTCGTGTTAACACGAAAAAGTCGTGTGCACGGCTCATCTCTGCTTTTTCATCAATTTCGCAACAAAGGTGCTTATTAAATTAATTTTAATGACTTATTAAATTGTAGAATTGTTGGTAAAGTCTTCGAATCACATTTTATAAAATTTGAAAACCTCGACAGCCCTTAGATATTGCTCATATTTGCTACCCCAAAACCTGAAAAACCCAAATACCCCAAAACCCGCGAAACCCTAATACCCCAATACCCCGAAAACCCAACACCCCAAAAACCCAGGGTAGCGTACCCTGCCTCTTATTTTCATACCCAAGTTGTAGGACATTTTGCAAAACAATTTTGCCCGTTTTGGTGTCTGAATATTGAACCAATTCCACCTGACGCGATAAAGCAGGAAGGATGAGCTAGGCTCGATATACTTAAACTTTATTAGTTCCCGATTCCCCATAGATTTCGTGAATAGCAATTCCATATTGTTAATTGAAATCCAGCCCTTCATCCAACACTCGGCAAGTCCCACAAAGCCACGTGACATCCCGATCGGGTAACAGCGCCAATTATTTATTTGCATATCCCAAGCTATATCCCCTCCAATTTTAAGGTTTAATTTCTTACTAAAAATCCAATCCATGTAGATTTTGAGTAACGGAGTAAACGGGATCAGAATGACGTAGGTGACAAAGTCCCAAATTATTATGAGATAATCCAACACCGTGATGACGATGGTGACAAGGCAATCCATGGTTGACCAATAGAATTTTAATTCGTTTAAATTTTAATTTCAAATAGATAAATCCCGACAAAACTTTTTCGTTTAAAAACCTAGTCTTAAATTTACACAAGAGATTTTAATAATTTTTGCGGATTATTTCATTTACAATTTCTTAAACAAGACGATGTTACTGCTAATTTCCAAAAATTTGCCTCATCCAACACAACAAATTGAACCCTCTTTCACATAAAATTGAAGATTCAAGATATGGAAAAACTTGCACAGCGGAAACTTATGGGCGAAAATGTCCGGGCAAATTGGACTTGAAGCCAACTACTGGCTCGGCAGATTTCGACTTATTCTTGAAATTAACTCATCTTGAGTAATTACGTTTTGGAAATTTTAATCATATTTATAAGCTCCTGATATAAGAATCTATTCATCTGCCTTCCTGAACAGGGTGTCTACAAACTGGTATTTCTTCTCAAGATTAACTGGCAGCCACTACTAAATACATATTCATCCAAGAGTATTTATATAGTGTTCATATTTATCTATCTATTTATGGCCAAGCAAAAGAATCACTGATCTGATTCCCCGTTTCTCATATTCAACACAACAGGATGAGGATTTGGAAAGGTTACAAAAGATAGTTTGTGTTATAAAAGATAAAACATTTTATGAATGCAAGCAGAAATGATCACGTAATTCACCTGGATTATGTATGTACATAGTTGCACACCTGCATGATTCAGGTACATTAGACGCCTGGCCAGACGAACAGGAACATTTGTTATTTGCTTAATGAATGAGATTATATAATAAAGTGCTCCAGACTGGAACCACCAGTCTACTTAGATACATATCTACATACACAGCTATCTCAATCATACATCGTGGCCAAGAATTATCTGACCACCCAAAAAATCTATAAATCGGTCCACAAAATTGGCTGAAACTTTTTTGTTGTCGTGTTCTCGGAACTAATTTTTTCTGACAATGTCAACCAGACTTGTACCTTCATTTGTGGAAAAAATCATAAAAATAACTTCACGATTGGATGAAGCAGAAGGAGTTTCGTAAATTGGGCGAAAATTTTGAGTCCCTAGAAATATCGTCACGTCCTGAAGGAACCGGAAGTCAATCAGCCAGGCTAATCATCTCAGACGACACACCGCATCCTCGGTCAGACCTGAGAATGCGATTTTTATAATACAGAGCGTGAATCAAGATACAAAACTCACTTTTATTTTTGATATAACATTTGTTAGAGAGACCTGGGATTATTGGAATTTGCATGTGTTGTACCCAGATAGTCAAGGAACAGTTCGCAAAACAACTTCTAGTTCTGTGCATCAACATGCCCCCACTCCCCCCCCACGGAGTGCGAGGTAGCCGTATTAGAGTTTTCCAAAGATAAATTGTACCATAAAAAATTGTTAAGAAACTGGCGACAACTGAATTCAAGTGCCAGTCAAAGCCATGTTTCCAGTGTATTAAATGGCACTGCCATGATGAGGCAGGGATCATAGGGTTCCACCTCCACCAAAGTGGCGTCCAAGATCAGCCAGAATCGAGGATGAGTTGTACTATATTGCAAATTCTAGCAATAAGGAAAATCCGTGAGCCCAGAAAAGTACGCAAAATGTTGGGGCTGAGTCAGGCAATAGTTTTTAGGATCATTCAATTTGACCTAAATAGATTAGCGCGGAGGAGGACCTTGGGTACGCACCCACGCCGTCTTACATCAAGTTTTTCGAAGCAACTTCGTGATAACTGTTTGAAAACTTATTTTCCCGAAATAAATTATTAACTGCAATTACTCTTGACGAGTCGAATGACATTATTCAGATAGATTATTTTGGTTTTTATTACTTGAAGCAGAGATTTTAAAGCGGACGGCTTGGGCGCTAAGTGGGTTTTGGAAAACTTTTCAAAACGAGTGGAACAAAATCACTCCAAAAAAGTGTTAAACGTGATACTAGCGTACAAAAAGCGATTGCACCTCGTTAGACAAACTAATGGGCTACACATTGAAGCAATTTACAAAATGCACAAACGAGTAATAAAGCTGTAGAAAAATAAATAAAAGTGAGTTTTGTATCTTGATTCACTCTCTGTAGTTCAACGAAAATCTGGTAGTTCGACAATAAATTGTGAACCGGTCCTATATCTTAAATATCGATTTTGACAATTTTATTAGAAAATCTATCGTTCCATTCTCCAGAATAAAGTAAAAACCAGTGACTGGGGTCACATCTCTTCTAGAACTCAAAAAGAAACTCTTTTTCGGTCAACAATATTCAGGTCGAGTTGATTTTGGCGAGTTTCTAGATGAAAACCATTATTTAACTGGTATAAAGGGCCCAGGAATTTTGTGTACGCGCATGACCAAAATATATGGTAATCCTGTGGTGAATACTCACTATATGAGGTAGCGAACTGCGAATAGAAACGGGGTTCCCGAGAAGAAGAATAGAAAAAAGTGGCTACCATTAATGGTTTGTATTTAGCCCTGGTTTAAAGGCGTGACGGACCTGGTCGTCATTTTTGGTTGTCAAAATTTAGACGTAAGTTTTACCGTGGCCATATCTTGCCCTTGTACTTCAATACTAAGGAACCTAAGCAACTTTTTCCAAATTCGAAAGAAATTCCATATTGACCGGATGGAGTATCATCCCACCCTTCAAACACTAATATTTGATTTTTCGAGTGTCAGTCGTTTACCATCTTGGCAAAGGGTGTGTGGCTCGGAAACACCCCGGACATGACCCCAATTAAAAATTTGTGGCCCTCGTTTAAATTTAAGCCGGTCTACGAAAAAGTTCCATGCGATACTGCTTCCAAGACCTCACGTTTATAAAACGTTTGAAAAAAAATTCCCAAAACTGTTTTGGAAAATCTGTCAGAAAATTTGAGGAAAAAATTTCATAACATGCAAAATCGTCTGGAGGACCCACAAGACATTAGTTTAGAACATACTATAAGAGTTTTTGTTAATAAAATGTTTTTCTTGTGAAATTAACAAATGTTTGAGACCATACCTTGCCTGGTCAGATAATTCCTGGCCACGATGTATAGTGGTCATGCATGCATTTCAAGGAAAATTAGGTAGTTACATATATTCAACATTAATGGTCTAAACATATGCTTAATGAATAAGCCGTTTATCTAGAGGGTGGTTTAAATGTCAGGTTACAATGGAAAATTTTCCAATGGGAAAAATTCGTAAATTTCAATTAGTTACGGATTTGGAATTTAAATTTTTATTAATTTTTGGGTTCAAAACTTATGGAACACTGATGACAAAATTTTTAAAATATTGAATTTCAGATACAAAATTTCGGTATCTAATGGAGATTTGAGAATTTTTCCCATTGAAAAATTTTCCATTATAACGTGACATTTGAACCACCCTGTACAAGCCGGACGAAAAGATGGGGTGAATTAATGTGTGCAATCAATATAATGTAAGTAATCTAGTAATAAACATGGGAT